AATAAAACTAAGTTAGCAATATATTGGAAGAACAGGAAAAACTGCATTTATAAAGAAAATTGAAAACTCAGAGTATTAACTTTTATAATAGCTCTAAATATCTCCTGCTGCTACCTCTCTTTTAGAACAAAAACAGTATCCTTGCTCTTAAAAATTAAGCAACATATGGTTACTAGGAAAGCCCCCTTAGCTCCTCCCCTTCATGAGAGCTTCCAAGGATAAAAGCCCAAATTCCAGTATTTATCAAATTTAATCAAACAGCACTGTCAGCTTCTAAATAGTTGTAGACAAAACTACATACAGAATTAACAAAATAAGTTCAGATTTTGCAGACTCTAAATATACTTAAAACATTTTCATAATGGAAATATGAAAAATTGGAGAAAACTGCTTTTTAATTCATAGTCCTGTCACCTTTCAAAAACTATAAAAAAGTAGATAGTAACGGGGTCGGCGCTATGGCACAGTCGGTTAACGCCCTGGCCTGAAGTGCCAGCACCCCGTATGGGCGCCGGTTCAAGACCTGGCTGCTCCACTTCTGATCCAGCTCTCTGCTGTGGCCTGGGAAAGCAGTGGAAGATGACCCAGGTCCTTGGGCCCCCGCGCCTGCGTGGAAGACCTGGAAGAAGTTCCTGGCTCCTGGCTTCAGATCGACACAGCTCCAGCCGTTGCAGCCAATTGGGGAGTGAACCATCGGATGGAAGACCTCTCTCTCTCTCTCTCTCTCTCTCTGCCTCTCCTCTCTCTGTGTAACTCTGACTTTCAAATAAATAAATCTTAAAAAACAAAAAAAAGTAGGCCGGTGCCGCGGCTCACTAGGCTAATCCTCCGCCTAGCGGCGCCGGCACACCGGGTTCTAGTCCCGGACGGGGGCGCCCGCTGCTGTGGCCAGGGAGTGCAGTGGAGGATGGCCCAGGTGCTTGGGCCCTGCACCCCATGGGAGACCAGGAAAAGCACCTGGCTCCTGGCTCCTGGCTCCTGCCATCGGATCAGCGCGGTGCGCCGGCCGCAGCGCGCCGGCCGCGGCAGCCATTGGAGGGTGAACCAACGGCAAAGGAAGACCTTTCTGTCTCTCTCTCTCTCACTGTCCACTCTGCCTGTCAAAAAAAAAAAAAAAAAAGTAGAGAGTAAGAGGAAAAAGAACTGACTTAAAAGGTAAATTGAGGAACTACTAACATGGGAAAAAGCTCTCTCTGCCTGGGAAAACATGCGAACTTGTGCTGGGAGAGTGGTCTGTCTGTACAGTTACATGACCTTGGGCAATTAAACTCCTATACTCAATTTCCTCATCTGCAAAACCAAGGAACAGGGAATAAACAATCTCTATGGTCCCTACCAGCTCCAAAATTCTGACAACAGATCCTTGTCAAAGGTTTTAAAATAGACATGCACACAGTATGAAATTTCATCTAATATTATAAAGTACAGAGCAGACTACTGTCTGGCTCCTCCTCACCCAAGTTCTAGTCCCCCAGAAAAGGTCCTTCACTTCTTGCAGCTATTTCTTCTGGCAATTATTCCATATTTATAAATCATTTGCTTATATTGCTATTTCCTGTTTTTTTTTTTTTCCATTTTAGACATTACGAAAAGTTCCTTACTTAATCTGTTAGGACATTTATTCACTCACCACTCTCCCAAATTTAACAGAAGTTGGTTCAATTTTATTTAACTGCTACACTGTAAAAATGCTAAGGATATGAAGAGTACAGAGACAGACACACACGCACGTGCGTGCACATACACACACATACACAGTCCTATTGTCCTGTCCCCACATGAGCTCACATTTTGGTTAATAATATTCCATTTCACATCCAACCACTTCACAAAATATAATAAGGAAAAAATTAAAAGCATTGTCTGAGTCTACCATATACAGGATCAAAGTATGCCCATGAAAGTCCCTTATTATCTCTAAATCTCATCTCTTTTCCTCCTACGTAGTCAAGCACCCATTGCAAAATACAAGAATCACAAATCACAAATGTGGCACCTGCAGAAGCACTTCGTTCATCGTAAAACACTATAGAAATGTCCACATCAGTCATGCCCTTACTAAAAGATCCCTATAAGAGAAGTCCCAGTATTTTGGTCACTCTCGAATGTTTCCCTAACTGGGCTAAAAACTAAGTTGGAACTTGCTGAGAATTAAGAATATGTAAACTGTATTTCAAGGCTAGAATCTGAGGGTCTACATCTTCAGTGGGCCTATGAGACAAATGTACACACAATAAATGTCAAGTGTCTACGCAAGGACCAGAGAAAACAATTTGGTTTTATATTTTCAGGGAGAGGGGAAGTTCTATATCAAATTGTATTTTTAAAAAGCATAATTTCACCTCTTAGAGGAGTTTCTTCCAATATTTACCTCCATATTTTAATATTTTTATGCATTTATTTGAGAGGTAAAGTTAGAGAGAGAGAGAGAGGTCTTCCATCCACTGGCCGATCCGAAGCCAGGATCCAGGAGCTTCTTCCAGGTCTCCCATGTGGGTGCACAAGCCCAAGTGCTTGGGCCATCTTCTACTGCTTTCCCAAGCCACAGCAGAGAGCTGGACTGGAAGTGGAGCAGCCGGAACCAGAACTGGCACCCATATGGGATACCAGTGCCACAGGCAGAGAATTAACCTACAGCACCACAGCACTGGCCCCTACCTCCATATTTCTATAACACGTTTGTAAACCTGCTTCTTGATTTGTAGACATTTTCTACCAATGTCTTATTCTAGAAAAAAATTTTGCAGGGTCAGGCATTTGGCACAGCGATTAAGACACAACTTGGGACACTTCATCCCATATCAGAGTACCTGGATTCAGTCCCAGCTCCACTTCCTATTCCAGCTTCCTGCTAATTCACACCTGAGAGGCAGCAGGTGATGACTCAAGGACTTGCCAAGCACGTGGGAGACCAGGTTGAGTTCCAGGTTTCTGGCTTTGACCTGACCAAGCCCTGCAGTTGTAATCACATGAGGAATGAACCAGAAGATGGAAAATATATTTTCTTTCTCTCTCCCCTTCCAAAGAAATAAAAATTTAAAAAGAAAGAGCCTTGCAGAGAACGTGCTGTGAAGTACATACACTTGGGAAGCAGAGTACAGAACTGTCTAGCACTACTCTGACTCTATAGATAGAGAGAACATTCATTTTTAGTGCTCACAGGCCTCTAGCAGAAGTGGTACAACTTAGTATCTTTACGTTAGGGGCAAGGAAGCTAGCTGGGAAGTTGGACCTAAATTATTACATCACTCTAACTCATTCTCTGGATCTACTTTTTTTTTTTATTTATTTATTTATATATATATTTTGACAGGCAGAGTGGACAGTGAGAGAGAGAGAGAGACAGAGAGAAAGGTCTTCCTTTCCCGTTGGTTCACCCTCCAATGGCCGCTGCGGCCAGCGCACCGCGCTGATCGGAAGCCAGGAGCCAGGTGCTTCTCCTGGTCTCTCATGGGGTGCAGGGCCCAAGTACTTGGGCCATCCTCCACTGCACTCCCGGGCCACAGCAGAGAGCTTGGATCTACTTTAGAGATGCACAGTTTCTCTTGCGTTTTCCATTCAGCCATACTGTTTAATCCCACTCCTAAAAGCCATAGGACAAATAACAAATGGGACCCCAAACTTAATTTATTTCAACACAGGCATGGACACAATTCTTATGAGCTTTGTGGAAAGAGATTGATTAGAGCTACAAAAAATCAGCCCTTAATTGTCTGAAAAGTTATCCAACGCCAAGGAGTATGCTCTATTAATCAGTAAATTTATGGACTGAATTTTCCGCTCAATTTGTGTCTAAAGAACACCGAAGTTCTACAAACAGCAGCTTCAGAAAACCCAGTGCAGTCCAACATCAGGTGCACAAGTGAACTTGAGGTCAGGCAGGTGACCCTGACATGCAAGCACGGTACATTAAGAGAGGAAATCTTTTCTCTCGTTAACCAACAGGATAAAGGTGATTAAGCAGGAATTATTTTTCAGTGACCTATATAATTTCATCAGGGCTGCTGTGCCTATTAGCAGGGAGCAGCTGACCTCTTAATGAGATGAATTTGATAGCAGAGCCTTTCCAGAGAAGCAAAGGGCGCCGGCACAGCCTACATGGAAGCAACAATTGGCAGGAGGTTCACACTCCTCTCCTGAACGCAGTCTCTTCCCCTCAGTATTGGGCTCTTTTCCTCTAGGGGAAGATTTTTCCCCGCCCTAGCATTCCTGGGGCTGCAGCACCTGCTGACCGATAGCAGCAGGACCTGTTAGGAACTGATGGGTCCAGGAGGCTGGAACAGAACTGGGCTAATTCACCAGACCTGCTCACGTGATTCCCAAAGTTCCAGACTGACAAGGCTACCGCCCCAACCAACACCTCTCTCTGGCCCGGCTGGAAATAAGACAGCAAATAGTTCTGCTCACTGGCAGAGCGGGGACTGACAAGGGAGCGTTGCTGGTGCCAGGGAAAACACGGATAAACACCCACTATCAATCAATCAACCACCACAACCTGAACGCAGTTTCATCAGAGAATTCAGGAAACTGAGCAACCGCCACCCTAGTCCTCACGGCAGGAAAGTGCCACAAACCTCCGAGCCGCACCGCCAGGAGGTCTGGAGAGGAAAACCGAGCTCCTGATCTCTACGCCTTCGCCCGTTCCTCCCGCGGGACCCAGGCTCTCTGGCCCCAGGGACCGAGAAAAGGGGTGGAGAGCCCTGATGCCATCTTCCTCGGGCAAAAACAAGCCGTCCCCCTCTCCACCAGGGTCAGACACCGAGTACCGTCCCGTCCCGGAGCCCGCAGCCCGCAGCCCTGGAAGCCACCTCCGCGCTGCCGCGCCCCGGCCCGACGCGGCGACTCCCAGCGGGACGATTCCCGGCCAGCGCCTACTCCAGTACCTGTTCCTGCGGCCCAAGCCGGGTATCCAGCAGGGAGAGAAACTGGGGTTCTCCCTGCCCCTCCGACCCTAAACAATTCCTCTTCAAACGCAAAGCTCGGGTCAGCTCGCCACGTACCTGTGAGCGTCGCGGCTCCTCCTCACCGCGCTGTGTGGAACTCGCCGGGCCAGCGGCTCCGAACAGCCCAGAAAGTTTATGTCACAGCCCCGGGGGGCGCGGGCCCCCAGAGCCGCCACCCACGCCAAGGCGCGGCGAGGAAGGCAGAGCCGGCTCCTCACCCCGTCCGGAACAGCGTGTTCCGCGCCCCGGCTGGACGCCGCTCACAGGTCTCGGCCCAGGTCCTCCGGGCCGGGCTCAAACTCCACAGGAGTACCGCGAAGAAAAAGGTCGGAGCGCAACTTTCCGACGGTGCGTCAGCGGCCGCCGGAGCCGTGCGAGTACCGGGCTCGCCCCCGCCCCTCTGCGCCCTCGGGAGCGCGGGCGGGGCGAGAGCCGGGGCGGGGCGGGGCCCAACCTGCCGGGCGGGCCCCGGGGAGCGCGCCGCCGGCCCCGCCCAGGCCCCGCCCAGGCCCCGTCCCTGCCCTGGCTTCCAGGTGCGCCCGGGAAACTGGCCGCGCCAGGCGCCTGCTCCGCGCTGGTTTCCAAGGTGAAGGGGGAGGAGCCTCGGAGAGAAAGTTTCCACAGAAACTTAAAACTGGGGCGCCCTGGAGGACGCAGCGCCCTTGGGGGCTAGCCTTTCGCCGGGACGTCACCTCCTCACACAACACCGCCCGACAAAAAACTAGAAACGTGTCTGGCCCTGCCCGGCCCGAAGGCCCCTTCTGCCCCCGCCTGGGCCGTTTTTGGAGCTCTCACTTCCCCCCGGCTCCCCGACGCACTCCCGGGTCTCCCCCATACGCCTTTCTTTTCCCTCCGGAGGTCTGGATTTGAAAAATGGTAACGCAGACCCAATACAGCTGAGGCCAGTGATGAACACGTTCGCCTGTTCTGCTGGCAAACTCCCTGAAGCGGGCAGGGGGAAATCGGCCTCAGCAGACGTTAATAATGGGAGCTGCCAGGTGTTGTGCGCTGCTTTTTAGGGGTAATCTGGAGGTCCCCAGAGTAGTTCGTGGGTTTGAGGAGTGTGTGTCACGTATTCACTGACAATTCCCTCCCGCCCCATTCACACCCCAAAATACTTGAGAACGCTTCGGTTTGCGCGGTTCCACAACGCAGAGGAAATTTGCCCAACTCCTGGCTCGCGGAGGGTGGGAGGGCTCCGTGTCCCCGCCACCCTGCGCGGGAAGGGTGGCCTTTGGCCCTGCCGGGTACCTCAGAACCCTTCCTGGAGCCCAGCCCTCCGAGCCGGGTGCCAAGCAGGCAGCGCCACCTCCTCTCCCACGCCCCTTACGTACTGGGGCGGCAAAGTCAAGGCTCTGCTTTCTGGACTTTAAGTCCCGGAGGAGAAATCAGAAACTGTTGGTTAGAAGTTCTGGGCATTTTCATGGCCCTGTGGTTGGTGTGGCTGAAACTTGAGGTGAACCTTAATCCCAGGGGGTGGGGCTGTGGCCCAGTTAGTGAAGGAGGATGTGTGGGGTTTCCACACAACAACGTCCCCTCTCGGGCTAGGGCCTCACCAAATCCTCCTTTGGAGGAAGTGTCTTCCTTCCTTCATTCTTGCTGCCTGACATCCAGAGATAACCCAAATCAGGCATATCTAGTTTCAAGCTCCCGCAAGCATGGTCACTGGAGAGTGCCCGCTTCCACTTTTTCTGTAACTGTCTACCGCCCATCCTGGGCTTGAGATTGGCAGCAGGAACGCAGGTTGTACCTGCCTTCAGTACTCTTCAGAATTCCCTTTCACCTGTGACAGTGCAGGCAAGAAAGAAGTGGCGCCTAAGGAAACGCTGGAAAAGAGCAAGGGAGATAGAGATCAGGGTACAAGCTGGAAAGTTCTGCACAGCAGGCCACCAGAGCCTTGCTCTGACAGTGGGATGCAGGAGAATCATTCATTTATTCAACAAACATTAAATGAAACTTTTTGCGTGCTAGGCACTCTGCTAGGGCTTGGGACAGAGCAGAGAACACAGACATCAAATTCCAAACTTCATGGAGCTTACCTTCCAGTTGGGAGACGATGGACAAAAAAGAAAAATATGTGGACTGACAGATGATTAGACATGTCATGGAAAAAAATTAAACAGGATGTTTAAGAAATATGAGGCGTGATCTTTTCAGTAGGGCAATCAAGGAAAGCCTCTGGAGGAGGTGAAATTCGGAGACCTCAGGGAAGTTCTGAAGCAGGCTATCTGAGAGGACAACTTTCCAGGCAGGAAATACGGCAACTGCAAGATCCTGAGGCCAGAGCATGCCTTAGTATTCTAGGAGCAACCAACACGGCAGAGTGGAAGAATGGAAAAGATTAAGGCAGAAGAGGTGAGGGTGAAACAGACCAGAACTGGGAACCATCAGAGAACTGGAAAGTGGTACCTTCCTACATTTGAGAGATCATCAAAAAGTTCAAGGAAAATGAATATTTTGAAAAAATATGCATGGGTTTCAAATTTTTATGTCAAAATAAACTTATGCTTTAATTCTGTTTTTCCACAGTTTTAGAAGCCTCCTCATGTAATAGAATCACTTTGACTGCTGGATTGAGAACAGACAGTAGAGGGTAAAGGCTGAAGCACAGAGACAGGAAGCTATTGAAATAACCCAGGAGCAAGTGGCAGGAACTTGGAGAGAGAGACAGGTGGAGGCGATGTTAACAGCGTTTCGAGATTGAATACAGGGTATGAAGGAACAGAGACAAGGGTGACCCTGAGGCTTTTGGCCTGAGCAGCTGGGGATGAAACTGTTATAACAAGGATGGAGGAGAACATTGAAAGGAACAGGTTGGGGACTGGTATTCTGGCACAGCAGGTTAAGCGATTTCAATTCCCAGCTGCTCTACTTCTGATCCAAATCCCTGCTAATGCTGCTGGGAAGATTTTTTTGTTAGAAGATTTATTTATTTATTTCAAAAACAGAATGACAGAGGGAGAGATCTCTTCCATCTGCTGGTTGACTCCCCAAATGGCCACAGTGGCCAGGGTTGGGCCAGGCCGAACCCAAGAATGAGGAGCCTCTTCTGGGTCTCTCAAGTAGGTGGCAGGGGCCCAGAGACTTGGGCCATCTTACCCTGCTTTTCCAGCCACGTTAGCAGAAAGTTGGATCAGAAGTGGAGCAGCCGGAACTAGAACAAGCACCTTATGAGATGTCGGCACTTCAGATGGCGGCTTAACCCACTGCACCACAGCGCTGGCACTAGCAATCTATTTTTTTACAGCATGCATTCAGTAAGCAGCTAATAGTTTGAGTCTATTGTTTTAGAAATTATAATATTAAGTGAAAGAAAAAGTACATTGGTTGTAAGTACATATATATGTCATGTAATGTCAACATTCCTAAATTATATTTTTATTAATTTATCTTATTTTATTTTTACCCTCTTCAACTACATTGTATATAGCAATTTAAAGCATTGAAATTGGATATTTTTAATGCCAAGACCAGACAAGACTCCCCTCTCTTTTCATATTTTTTAAGTCAATATTTTTTATTTCTATTTTAGAGAAAGAGCTTCCATTCACTGGATCATTCCCCAGATGCCTACAATAGCTAGGGCTGAGCCAGGCTGAAACCAGGAGCCTGGAACTCAATCAAGGTCAATCACATGGGTAGCAGTGATCCAACTACTTGCGTCATTATCTGCTGTTTCCCAGAGTGCACATCAGCAAGAAGCCAGAATCAGAAGTGGATCTGGGGGGGGCCAGCACTGTGACACAGTAGGTTAATCTTCCACCTGCAGCACCAGCATCCCATATGGGTGCCAGTTCTAGTCTCGGCTGCTTCTCTTCCAGTCCAGCTCTCTGCTGTGGCCTGGGAAAGCAACAGAGGATGGCTCAAGTCCTTGGGCCCCTGCACCGGCGTGGGAGACCTAGAAGAAGCTCCTGGCTCCTGGCTTCAGATCAACGCAGCTCCGGCTGTTGCAGCCATTTGGGGAGTGAAACAGCAGATGAAAGACTCTCTCTGTCTCTCCTTCTCACTGTCTGTAACTCTGCCTCTCAAATAAATAAATAAAATTTTAAAAAAAGAAGAAGTGGGTCTGGGACTTGAACCAGGCACTCTGATGTGGAGTGCAGGCAACCCAAGCAGTGCTCTAACTGCTGTGCCAATGCTTGCCTATCTTCTCACTCTTACCCCTTTCATTCCCACTTATAATTGTATCTCAAATTGTACATGTATATGTATTTATAAAAATTTTTTAAAAGATTTACTTTATTTGTTTGAAAGGCATAGTTACAGAGAGAGATTGGGACAGGCAGAGAGAGAGAGAGATTTTTCATCCACTGGTTCACTCCCCAAATGGCCTCAAGGGTCAGGACTGGGCAGGTCCAAAGCCAGGAGCCAGGAGCTTCTTCCAGGTCTCCCACATGAGTGCAGGGACCCAAGTACTTGGCCATCCTCCACTGCTTTACCAGGTGCATCAGCAGGGAGCAGAAGTGGAGCAGCTGAGACTTGTACCAGTGCCCAAATGGGATGCTGGTGTCTCAGGCAGTGGCTTTAACCACTATGCCACAATGATGGCCCCTAATTTTTTTTTAAAGAACAAGCATTTGACACAGCGATTAAGACACAGCTTAGAATGTCCACATGCCCTATCAGAGAGTGCCTGAATTAAGGTCCCACCCCCACTTCAATCCAACTTCCTGCTAATGCACATCCTGGGAGGCAGCAGGTGAGTGGCCCAGGTACTTGGATCCCTGCCACCAACATGAGAAACCTGGATTATAATCTGCCTCCAGCTTTAGCCTGGCCTGGTCCCAGCTGATACAGGCATTTAGAGAGTAAACCAGCAGATGGAAAACATCTTTCTCTCTCCCTCTCTCTCTCTCTCCCTCTCTCTCTCCCCCTCACTCTCCCTCTCCCTCCCTCCCTCCCTCTCACCCCCAAATAAAAAATTAAAATCATTTTTTAAGATTTTAAATATAAGAAATCTCAGATTATATTTTGAGAAGGAGTGTCTCATCATTAGCACACACATGCCCAAACCCTTCTTTCACAGAGTTCATAGAAATGTAGATATTAACTCCCTGTGAGGAAGCAGACTAAGGGTATGCCTCTATTTATAAAAAGCTGAGGCTGACAAATAATGAAGGATAGAATTAAAAGGGAGAGAATGATCCTGCGGGGGAAACAGGACACACAGCAGACTCATAGAATGGCAGCACTCCTGCCTCAGAAT